TGAAAAATGGAGGAGTGAATACGAACGGCACAAATTTGTATTTGGTCGTTTGAAATAGCGAACAATTCATTTTCTTCCATGTTAATCTGTCATTGAACCAAATAAATGTGCGTTCGATAAAGTTCTGCATATACGAACGACGTGAATTTACGATCGGTCAACTAAAATAGCGAACGTTCGCTTTTCTTCCATGTAAATCTGTAATTGAAGCAAAGAAATATACGTTCGATAAAACACTGCATAAGTGAAAATTTAAAAACAAACAAAACTACGACTTTTCGGTAAGATTTTGTTATTTTAAATCTTTTGAGGCGGAGAAACAACGTGTAGGGTTTGTCAGTGGCGCAAGGAATAACCCTGAGGTGCATTTCTTTGATTGCAATTGCTTGGAGGCGCGGCGCATCAGTAAGTTCAATGTAGGGAGAGCACAGCTATGGTAACCAAATAAGTTAGAGATTGGAAATTTCTGGCACTTACTAACCTTAACATGCCCTTCCCAATATAAAATAAAACAATGAATATCTGACATGCATGAGCATTCTTTTTATTAGGTGGTATTAAAGTACCCCATGCTTTTTGGGGGTAGGGGTATAAATTGGTCTGAGGGCTGTCTGCCACCCCTATAGAAAGTCCAACTACCCAGAAAGAGTCCAGTATAATCATACAGATGGTTTGAAATAGGTTGGAATGTGTAACCTTCCATGAAAGGAAGGAGTTACAATTATCAGAGTGGGCCATAGTTTAGATAATTATAGGATATCCTATGATTTTGAGGAATATCATTTTTATCTACGAGGTGATATTGATATCTGCACGAGAGAGCGAAGCGAACGAGTGCATATATCAATATAACCAAGAAGATTAAAATGATATTCTGAAAAAAATCATATGATGTTCTTATTATCCTACACTTACAAGGAGTGAACTGAATGTATAATATCATTGTAAAATGAATTTCATTCCAAATAGAGTCAATTTGGCGGGAAATCAACAAGCGGAGTATATCGTCACAATATCCTCTGCATATTGGGTTTTCCAGAGTATATCGTCACGATATCCTCCGCCAGGAGTATATCGTTACGATATCCTCCGGATATTCATTTTGCCAATAAATATCAAATTTATTTTTTCATGTTATTATACATTTAGTACACTAAATGTAGGATAATAAATATTACATCTTAATCACAAAAACTATTCATTACATCACAAAATATTAGCACATGGAAAAGAGTAATAATTGCACAGATATGAAACTGGCAAGTTCTCCATACTCTAGAGAGGTAAATATTAAGAATTATAGAGAACTTCCCATCATCTGTATAACAATTGTTACAGATGCAAACTTCTGTGTAACAATTGTTACAGATGCAAACTTCATTGCAAAACACCAGTTCAAAAATGACATATTATAATGAAATATGAATACTACCATCATTGTGCAACATAAAACCTGAACAATAATTCAAGGTATGCCTTCATCCAAGGGTCTAATAAGTTTTATAGTAAATCGAGTTCATGAAAAACAAGGCACACAGCAAACAATAATCTTGAAGACAAAAGTGAAATTACAAATAATGGAATGATACGAACAGATGTTGGAATCCCTATAAAGGTTAATTATAGAAGAGTCAAATGAAACAAACAATTCACATAATGAATTTATTAAAGCCAACTCATTTTTCCAGAAGGTCACTGTTTCTTTAGCTAAAAATCATAATAAAAAGGTAGCAATGGTTGACACATAATATCCAGTACCTCGGGTGTTTGAAACTATGAAGACAAGGCATTAACATGACAAAATGTCACCACCTAGTTGCTCACAATATTATGAGTTCAAACTCTAGTCAGATTTGAATTTCTGAAAACTTGTAAAGTCAAATTTGAACTTCTGAAAAGATGTAGATAATTTTGAAAAAAAAATTTGGTCAATTTGAAGCAAGTTGAAAACAGACCTTTTTGAACTTTTTTGACCTTGAGAAGGTCATTAAAGGTCAAATGTCAAATCTAAAGTCAGATTTGAATTTCTGAGAACATGTAGATGATTTTGAAAAAAAAATTAGTCAATTTGAAGCAAGTTGAAAAAAGACCTTTTTGAACTTTTTTGACCTTGAGAAGGTCATTGAAGGTCAAATGTCAAATCAAAAGTCAAATCTAAAGTCATATTTGAATTTCTGAGAACATGTAGATGATTATGAAAAAAAATTTAGTCAATTTGAAGCAAGATGAAAAAATACCTTTTTGACCTTTTTTGACATTGAGAAGGTCATTGAAGGTCAAATGTCAAATCTAGAGTCAGATTTGAATTTCTGAGAACAGGTAGATGATTTTGAAAAAAAATTTAGTCAATTTGAAGCAAGTTGAAAAAAGACCTTTTTGACCTTCTTTGACTTTGAGAAGGTTATTGCAGGTCAAATCTCAAATCAAATCTAAAGTCAGATTTGAATTTCTGAGAACACGTAGATGATTTTGAAAATTTTTTTTAGTCAATTCGAAGCAAGTTGAAAAAAGACCTTTTTGACCTTTTTTGACCTTGAGAAGGTCATTAAAGGTCAAATGTCAAATCTAAAGTCAGATTTGAATTTCTGAGAACATGTAGATGATTTTGAAAAAAAAATTAGTCAATTTGAAGCAAGTTGAAAAAAGACCTTTTTGACCTTTTTTGACCTTGAGAAGGTCATTGAAGGTCAAATGTCAAATCTAAAGTCATATTTGAATTTCTGAGAACATGTAGATGATTTTGAAAAAAAATTTAGTCAATTTGAAGCAAGATGAAAAAATACCTTTTTGACCTTTTTTGACCTTGAGAAGGTCATTGAAGGTCAAATGTCAAATCTAAAGTCAGATTTGAATTTCTGAGAACATGAAGATGATTTTGAAAAAAAAATTTAGTCAATTTGAAGCAAGTTGAAAAAAGACCTTTTTGACCTTTTTTGACATTGAGAAGGTCATTGAAGGTCAAATGTCAAATCTTAAGTCAAATCTAAAGTCAGATTTGAATTTCTGAGAACACGTAGATGATTTTGAAAAATTTTTTTAGTCAATTTGAAGCAAGTTGAAAACAGACCTTTTTGACCTTTTTTGACCTTGAGAAGGTCATTGAAGGTCAAATGTCAAATCTTAAGTCAGATTTGAATTTCTGACAACACGTAGATGATTTTGAAAAAAAGATTTAGTCAATTTGAAGCAAGTTGAAAACAGACCTTTTTGACCTTTTTTGACCTTGAGAAGGTCATTGAAGGTCAAATGTCAAATCTAAAGTCAGATTTGAATTTCTGAGAACATGAAGATGATTTTGAAAAAAAAATTTAGTCAATTTGAAGCAAGTTGAAAAAAGACCTTTTTGACCTTTTTTGACATTGAGAAGGTCATTGAAGGTCAAATGTCAAATCTTAAGTCAAATCTAAAGTCAGATTTGAATTTCTGAGAACACGTAGATGATTTTGAAAAATTTTTTTAGTCAATTTGAAGCAAGTTGAAAACAGACCTTTTTGACCTTTTTTGACCTTGAGAAGGTCATTGAAGGTCAAATGTCAAATCTTAAGTCAGATTTGAATTTCTGACAACACGTAGATGATTTTGAAAAAAAGATTTAGTCAATTTGAAGCAAGTTGAAAACAGACCTTTTTGACCTTTTTTGACCTTGAGAAGGTCATTGAAGGTCAAATGTCAAATCTAAAGTCAGATTTGAATTTCTGAGAACATGTAGATGATTTTGAAAAAAAAATTTAGTCAATTTGAAGCAAGTTAAAAAAAGATCTTTTTGACCTTTTTTGACTTTGAGAAGGTCACTGAAGGTCAAATGTCAAATCTTAAGTCAAATCTAAAGTCAGATTTGAATTTCTGAGAACACGTAGATGATTTTGAAAAAAAAATTTAGTCAATTTGAAGCAAGTTGAAAACAGACCTTTTTTACCTTTTTTGACCTTGAAAAGGTCATTGAAGGTCAAATGTCAAATCTTAAGTCAGATTTAAAGGTCAAATGTCAAATCTAAAGTCAGATTTGAATTTCTGAGAACATGTAGATGATTTTGAAAAAAAATTTAGTCAATGTGAAGCAAGTTGAAAAAAAAGACCTTTTTGACCTTGAGAAGGTCATTGAAGGTCAAATGTCAAATCTAAAGTCAGATTTGAACTTCTGAGAACATGTAGATGATTTAGAAAAAAATTGAAGTCAGTCTAAACAGTATTTGTTAAGTTATAGGAAGTTGTAAGAAATTGTTACAGACGCCGGACGCCAACCGCCGGACGCCAACCGCCAACCACCAACCGCCGGACGCCGTCGCAAAAAAACGGAGACCATAACAATATGTCACCACTTTTGGTGGTGACATAACAACAAACTGTGACGTTTTGAAACGAGCTGAATGTTTTCACAACCTAGAATTGACTTTGAAAATGTACTCCTAAGTTGAAATTACTACAAATTACTTGAAAAGCATCATGAATACACAACTGCATGATTCAGAAGTATTTTAGTGTAACCATTTCTTGATGTTGCAATTCAAGTAAGCTTGTTAGAAAGATATCCAAAAGCCAGATATTTGACCTTTGATAACACACCCATTTGTAACCCAATTATTCCTCAACATAACCATTCACATTGGCTATCAAACATTGGAGTAAAGAGTTCTGGAGATAAAACAGTGAAATATGTGCCATCTAAATCCTAATCAATCATCACAAATACAATATGCAGGGTTTGATGACAATCATATTTCATAAATTGCACAGCGAGGAATATATTAAATCAATTTATAAAACAGAAACTTATTTTCAAATAATTCCCCAAGATATGCTTCATATTATTTGTGATATCACTCCTCTATTAATCCTAGCATCAATACTGCCATTCAAAGAGAGGCATATTATATTATATTGATTCAATATCAGTCAGTAAAATCCATCACTCCCCTCAATGTTTCAACCCCACTGAAGTATCTAACTATAGGCTAGAACCCCCCCCCCCCCCCTTTACTATAATTGTATTAGATACTTACTGTGTCCTTGTGTGGTAGCAATTCCTTCCTTATTTTGAAGAAGTTCTTTCCATATTGACGCAGGCCTTTCAAGAACCTCTTCTACAACACAGAAGTTTCAACATCAATCAAATTCTAAATAAATAAAACCCTGGTATATAATGCACCTTAGTTGTTAGATATTGATGGAGTTGATGAATCCTGTATGTATAAGCAGCATGATATGCTATGATGAGAATAGACTGGCAGCCATTTTGAATTCATAGTACAGTATTATGCAGGAAAAAATCAATGAGTTAGCTATCCAGCAAGCCGCTCTTATCTTCAGCCAATTTATCACTGTGGATTTATTACAGCACTATCCACATCCAACAATAAAGCAGCTGGCAAAGTTTGGCATAGGATTATTTTCATCTCAATTCAAGCTCTAAAGACAATATTGCATAGTTTTTGTTCAGTGTAAAGAAAACCGCTCTGATATACATGATATACATGCATAATAACAGCTTGGGGATTATGCATGGGTTAGTTATAATACCAATACTCAATATTATATTTTTTAAATGCAACACAGGGTTCTCCCCAGGAATTTTTCCCAACTTTTTTTTACCTTAAAAGGACGATTCTCGGTTTGGAGAACGAAGTTCATCAATCTAAATGAGCATTATCCCTGCTTCGAACAAATTTGATTTGTTTACATAATACAGATTTGAATGTCTTCTTTTGAATAGTCATAATTTAATTTGGGTAATATTTCTAGGTTTTTCGTGAAAAAAATATTACCGCAGTACACTGATGAACTTCTTTCCCCAAATCGAGACTTGTATTTTATTGAATCGGTCTAATTGAGCGTTATCCCTGCTTCAGACCAATTTGTTTTTTTACATCTTGTAGATTTAAATGTCCTCTTTTGAATATTCATAGTTTAATTTGGGTAATATTTCTATATTTTTCATGAAAAAAATTATTAGCCCAGGAGACTGTTCTCCAAACCGAGAATCGTCCTTTGCCCCGAGCGAATACCTAAAAAACATTGACAACAGTATACCTCTTCATAAGCCATTGAAATATAAACATTAACATAATATCACTTGTAAGACAACTTTATTTTAGTTTTCTTTGTTCGTACAATCTTAAAATTCTAGTGGCGGACATCAGTGCATCTTCTTGGCTTTTGGTCAACCAATTTCCCCACACCTTTTCAAAATAAAATTCTTCTGGATCAGGTCAATTTATTATCAGGGCCATGATTCTATGAACTGTTGGAACTTTAAGGCTCTACATTTAATTTTGTAAAAAAGATTGTATTAATATTTGATGATAATCTATGCTCCATTCTTAATCTAAAAGCTGGTGTATTTTCAGGGCTGTAGGGAGAGGGGGTTCGGAGGGTTCCTGCGAACCCCCCCCCCCCACCCAAAATTCTGTCTAAATAAATTCGAACCCACCTTTTCCGCCAATTATGCGAACCCCTCAAATTTTGAGTTAATATTTTGCAGTTTTTCAGTAATTTATCTTTTTTTGATTACCTTAGAGATTCGAGGTATATGCAAAGATGGAAATAAGTCCCTAATTTATGACATAAATTAGAGAATTTTGAACATGTGAAAGTTCAGTGATGCAATGCATGTGATGCACCAACGTTCTGAATGCTAAAAAACTCTATTTTTGGTCAGGAGTCACTTTCAAAATTGTTTTCTTTCATTGGAACTCACGCTTTTGCCAAATTTTTTGCCTTCTATTTATATTTATTTTGAAGAGCACATCGTGCAAGTAATGGAAAATACTAAATGAATTACAAGACCTATGCTTGAATTAAATTGGGGGAGTCTATGTCTGATAAAGTCCTTGAGCTATTTATTTTGGATTTATTTTTCTGACCTATCCAGAAAGTGGTAAAAACATAAAATTCAAAGGGATTTTAACAGGCCTTTGTTGAAAAAAGTTCCAAATGAACGAAATTGGTCAAAAATTGGAACATTTCACTTGTCTTATGATTTTTCTCTTGCAATTGTTTAAGGCAAAGGTAAAACTTTAAATTCCAGCAAACTGGCAAAAGTTAGTAAAATAGACCAAAATTAAGCAAATTTGGCAAAATTTAAGCAAATTTGGCGAAGTTTAAGCAAACTTGCCAACATTTAAACAAAATAATGCAGAGATAAAGCAAATTTGAAAACGTTTTTATCAAATTCACCGTTAGGTGGCTTCAAAAAAATGTTGCCCCCTCCTGTCAACCTTGAAAAAGTAGATGAGATAGGATTCCTGGGAGTAATTATTGATTCAAAATTATCTTGGGCTCCCCATATCAATGCTCTTCATAGAAAAGTTTCAAATGTTATAGGAATGTTATATCGAACAAATTATGCTCATACTTTAAATTCAAAGATGATAATATATAACTCTCTGATTTTTTCTCATCTTAATTACTGTAATATTTTATGGGGAAATGCTTGTAAGAATCTATTAAATAAACTACTGATATTGCAAAAGAAATTTGTTAGATTAATAACAAATTCAGATAGATTAGCTCACACATTCCCAATTTTTCAAGATCTTAAAATACTTAATATTTATCATATTCACACAATCCAAACTGTTTCATTCATGAAAAAAGTTATAAGCAAATCTGTACAGTTCCCTTCAAAATTATACGATCACTATTTCAAAACTAGAGAAAACATACATCAACGTAAAACTCGATTTGGTCATAACTTAGATATTCCTAAACATAGAACCAGAATTGGTGAAAATTCTATTAAGGTCCATGGTTCATATATATGGAATTCCCTCAATGAAGATATTAGAAATAAACCATTAAATTCACTCATATCTCGTTTGAAAATTGACCTCCTGAGTACAGAGTAACCAAAACATCTATTTCATTTCTTTATTGTCTCATATTATTGTATTTGTATATTGTATTTATATTATATTATTGTATTGACCTATGTACCACTTTAAATGTTCACAGTTTATCATGTTTATTGTAAATTTAATTATGGGCAGTCATACACCCCCTGGGGTGTCATAGCCTGTATAATGTTGTAATTTTTGTAATGAAAACTGAAATAAATTATTTTGAAATTGAATTGAATTGAAATCCTGGCTACGGCACTGATTTTACTAGCTGGACAACTGATATATTTATTTATTCTTTAAGTACATTCACACCCCTTGGGGTCAAGTACAAACAAAAATTATAACAATTATATAGGAAGGAAAAAAAGACATTTAAATGTAAAAAACTACATAAGTATTAATATTACTATTAATGATGATGATGCATTGGTGCACTAGAGATTACCTATTGGTACTGGATGTAAATATATATTTTGCTACATTTATACAGTTTTGATCTTTACCAGACATCTAATAAATAAATGGATTTTCTTGTACTGGCATTTTCATTTTAGACAACATTATACTTCTTTGTTTATTATATTTCGTACAGTGAAAGAGATAGTGTTCTTCATTTTCTATAATATTGCATGTTTCGCATTTTCTCTCCTCCAGAGGTGTCATTTTGGTCTTGTGTAGCGACCGAGTTCAATTTGGAGATTATGTGCACTTATTCTAAGTTTAGTAAACTCTCTACGCAGGTCAAAACGTTTTATATAATCTAAATAATTTTCAAAGGCAAAGTTACTTTTGAATGTGTTATAAATTCTTAATTTGTTATTACACGTTCGCTTTTGTGTATCATTAGAGATTTTATTCTTCCAGAATTCATGAAATCGGCTCCTTAGACTTTGCTTGCATTCAGATAATATTTCTGGTGTTATATCTAGTATTTCTTCAGTATTCATTAATATTTTAATCAATTTTAAGAACAACATATACCATGACATAGAATTCTGATTTTTTGTGTTGTGAAATGCTTGACTGAGTAACAGGTTATCAGAGTCCTGAATATAATTCTATCAAATATGTTTATAAATAGTGGATACCTCCAAAGTTCTCCATAAATAGCCATGTTAGTTGCCCTTTTCCCAACACCTAGAATATGTTTACAAAAAGATATATTTAATTGCTTGAGGTACGTATCTTCTAAGTTGTCAGTTGAGACATTATTAAAAGCATATGGCGCCCATATTTCAGCACCATACAGACATATTGGTGCTATCATATGGTCAAAGAGGCTTACTGCTAATAAAAAAATTAAAAAAATGCTGATATATAGAATGTTATTGTTTGAGAATAAATACTATAATTTACTGCTGTGTTTATATGCATGGATTACATCCATTTTGTTAATATGAAAAAATTGAATCCACTTTGTTGTTCAATGGATTACATTCACCTTGTTAATATGACTGGATTGCATCCACTTTGTTTGAATAGATTACATCCACTTTGTTGATATAAATACATTGAATCCACTTTGCTAATATGAATGGATTGAATCCACTTTGTTCGAATGGATTTCATTCACTTTATTGATATGAATAGATTACATCCACTTTGTTAATATGAATAGATTGCATCCACTTTGTTCGAATGGACTTCATTCGCTTTGTTGATATGAATAAATTGCATCCACTTTGTTCCAATGGATTAAATCCACTTTGATAATATGAACGGATTGCATCAACTTTGTTAATATGAATGGGTTGCATCCACTTTTTTCGATTAGAGTACATCTACTTTGTTAATATGAATGGATTGCATCCATTTCGTTAATATGTATAGATTGCATCCGCATTGTTAATATGACTGGATTGCATCCACTTTGTTTGAATAGATTACATCCACTATGATAATATGAATGGATTGCATCCATTTTGTTAAAATGAACATATTGTATCCACTTTGTTAATATGAATGGATTGCACCCACTTTGTTAATATGAATGGATTGCATATCTAGTTTGTTAATATAAATGGATTGCATCAACTTGTTAATATGAAAGGATTGCATCCACTATGTTAATATGAATGGATTGCATTCACTTGGTTAATATAAATGGATTACATCGACTTTGTTAATATGAATGGATTACATCCACTTTATTAATATGGATGAATTGTATCCACTTTGTTAATATCAATGGATTACATTGATCCACTTTGTAAATAAGAAAGGATTACATCCACTTTGTTAAT